TCCACTCTCATAAAGGGTTAGAGTCTCAGAAACCAGCAGGGGCAATTCTACCCTCTCCTATAGGGTTTCCACAAGTCGGAAATGGCCCGATAACAGTGAGGGGAGAGAGACAGAGAGACAGAGGGACAGAGGGACTGAGACTCTATCCTGAATTATGGGCTATAGTACAAAAGTTTTAGTTCTGAGTAATTTTTTTTCTCTTTTTCTTTCTAAAAAGGAGGCAGTATGCCACGAAAGTTTGGGGACCTGTGTTCTAAATCCCTGAACCCTAAATCGACCAGTGATTAAAGTCAGATTGGCCCAACCTTTGGGGGACCGTTCTTGCTTTAGCCAATTTGAGTTGGATTCCTGTTGACTCCCTGCAGAGTCCTGACGAATGAAGACTCCTCCCTCCCTCCAATGGAGGTCCCCGGCCAGGCCGCCGTCGCTGGGTCCAGAGGTGGCCCTGCCGCCTGGGCCACTCACCTGGATGGTCTTGGTTTGGACCCCCACCATGCCACCGCACTTCTCCTCTATCTGCACGTGCTCGGAGATGAGACACTTCTGTGTCGTGACGATCCTCTGCGTCACGATGCACAGGACCTCATTCCTCCCCGTCAGCACCTGCTGCAGCACAGCCTTCTTCAAGTTGATGGTTCTGAAAGAGGAAATGGCGGTGAGCGGTCTCAGGCCTCGGGGGAGATGGATGGGCCTGCATGGTCTCAGCTTACACAGCGGGCGCTGAGGAGTGAGCAGGTGACAACCAGCACCACTATTTCCTGGTGGTGAGAGAGGAAGCAATTCATCCAGGAGGCATAAACCAAGCTCCCCTGAGGCCAGCCCCGAGCTGCCAGCCCTCCAGGAATGGGCTGACCTGGGGAATCGAAGCTCTTTGTCAAAAGGCGGCCCTAGTTTGTCAAGAGGGAAGGGACGAAGGCAGTGTGGAAGCCCAGCCCATTTTTCTGACAGCCAGGGAGCTCCACGGTGCTACTGAATCAGAGGCTGGGTGACCGCCTCCCGACCATGGCCCGTGAAATATGCATGGTTGTGGGGGAACAGACACCAGTGGCTTCGTACAGAACAGAAATGGAATAGGCTTAAAGTACAAGTGGAAAAGAAGCTGCCAGCCACCCAGACCTGCTGTCCAGAAGCCCCACATGTGCAGGAGTAGACCTGTGCTCCATCGGTTTTTCAAGGGCTGGTTTTACTGAGCCGGGCTTTCCTTCAAAGGTGTCTCTGGGTAAACTCAAGCCACCAACTTTTTATAAGAAGGAAATCAGATTTGACTGAAGAAGGACATTTTTAAAAATCGTTGTTAAGTGTTATCAGCCGGTTACGTCACGCACCACCACAAACACAAACATTATGGTGAGTCCCTTGTCCCAGCTCCTGTGTCAGTCCACCCTACCCAGGGCCCTCCTCCTGTTGACTGCCCCTCTACTTTACCAAGCATGGCGTCCTTCCCCAGGGACCAGTCTCTGAAAACACGTTCGAGCACATGAGAGCGTTTCGCCAACCTTGCCTCCAAGGGGCATTCTGACCATCCTGCTTTCAGGACAGATCTGTGTGTTCTTTCGGCCGGCCGTGCTACTTTCAATATTCTTCACCGGCAAAATCAATTGAAATGCATTGATTTTTCTTCAGTCTTCCTTATTCAATGTCCAGTTTTCACATGCATAAAGGTCAGCAGTTTGAAACCAACAGTTTGCTCCTCAGGAGAATGAGGAGGCTTTCTAGTCCTATAGGGTCACTATGAGTCCATATTGACTCGATGGCAGTGAGCTTAACATGTTTATGAAAATTGTTCCATGCTACTGGCTATAATTTTTACAATGTGTCACCATTCTCTGTATTTCCATCTATTTCCATTGATCTAGCTTCCCTTCCCTTCTCATTTTTGCTTTTGGGTAGCTAACTGAGTAGTCTCATATAATTGCTTAAAGACGCGCATTCCTCATGGATCATATCAGTTATTTAAAAAACCATTTTATTACTTGACTGAAAGGCGACTTGCAGAAATAACTTCACGTCAAGGTCAAAGGTGTCTGAGGATGAAGGTCCCAGGGGTTCCTCTGGGCTCTTGGGTCCATTGGGCTGGGTCTTTTGTAGAAATTCAAGTTTTATTCCGTTTGTCTCCCGTCCTATGGGATCTTCTCTTGTGTCCTTGGTAGGGAGTAACAGGGCACCAACTAGTTGTACGGGTCTCAGGCTGCAAAGACTGATCAGCATCAGCTACTAGTCCCCCGAGGAGCCCTGGCTACAAGCCCCATTGCCCCACGGGTCAGAGACCCTGATGGCGACCAGTCCCTTCGCAGATGTCTGGCTCCCTCCCTGCTCTGTGGCTGGCTGGCTGGTTCCTTATTGGGAACACTGCTCTTTTTTTTTTAAACATTTTATTAGGGGCTCATACAACTTATCGCAATCCATACACACATCAATTGTGTACAG